TGTAGTGTAGACCAGGCCTCCCCGATAAAGAAGGGAAACAGTTAAAGTACTTGAAACTTAAAAAGTTGAGTAAAAGTTTATTTTTAACAATTTTTCTGATTCCTTTTTTCATTTGTTGTATAGAATTTTTATTGGGCGAAATCTCTGCTAGCCAGCTTTGGGTGGTGTTAAAGATGGCATTATCTGTTCTAGCTGCAGGAAGGAGAGTCAGTTTTGTACAGTCTTGAGTTGTTGAACTTTGATTCTGTTTCCTTTAACCCAAAGCCAGGAAGATGTACACACAAGTATAAGAGGAGGATAGCAGGGATGGAAAACCAAGCCTGTCTCCCTGGCAGCCTCCCTGCAGGGAGGGCAAAGACATAGCATGCAATCTTACTAGCCACTTCAAGACCTGGCAAGCTCTTACCAGGGTCAGGCTGGCTGGCCTCTGTTCACAGCAGGGTTGTAAAAGGTGGCTTTGTCTTGGTTGGCCAAGCCAGACTCTGCTTGGGCAGAAGGCAAAGATAGGCAAGAGGAGAAATTAGATGGGGGAGGAAAATGCCATAATAGGGAAGGGGCAACAGTAGGAACTTGAATTTTACATCTCCCCAGGAATTGTGGAGGATTTAGCTGAAGCTGGTGGAGATGGTGATGTCATTTGTTTCCCCCTTTCTAGTTGGTATGGCTTTAAAGTTCAGGCCAACAAAGAACCGGTGGTATGATGGTAGTTCCCAGGGTCCCAATCAAGGGAGGAGTCAGTCAGGATGGTGAAACTCACTCCCTCAAGCTGTTGGGTCCACAAGTCTTAGTTATTCAATCCAGCAGCTGCCAATAAGTGATCTCTCCTTCCCACACAAGAAAAGCAATGCCCAAAAGAGGATTGGAACCTCTTCCTACTGGAATTGCCTAGTGAAGACATGAATATAATTGGAATTGCAGTAGACCTCTCCTTTTGTTTCTAGAATCCCTTGGCTCATTGGTATGACAATCTGTGACCTCACCAGGAGCCCTGAGTCACAGGTCTCCCAGCCTGAATGTGCTTCCTTCTCTTTGTACTACAGTCAGTCTACAGCTTCTGCCTGTTTTATTTAACAGGCTGACTATTCTTTTTAATGACAGGTTTCAGAGTAGCAGCCATGTTAGTCTGTATCTGCAAAAAAGAACAGGAGTACTTGCCATACTCTATCAAAGAAACTGAGGAACCACCTGATCAGCATCCTATACAGCAAACAGAAAAACATCGAGAAAGAGCTCTCCAACCTGGAGACTCTCATAAATAACCAAACTTCCACACAGACGGACTTCGCTAAAATAAGACAGGAGATCTACATTACACACTTCACCTCTCTACAAAGGAAAAAGGACTGTAAGCTGTCTAAAATCCTACCTGCCACATGGGGCCACAACAGTGGTACCCCTAACCCACCCAGCAATATCGTCAATCTATCCAACTACACACTCAGCCCGGCAGAAGAGTCTGTCCTATCTCGGGGACTCTTTTTCTGCCCTGCCACCCCCACAAACATGATACAGTTCTGCGGTGATCTGGAAGCCTACTTTCGCCGTCTCCGACTCAAAGAATACTTTCAAGAGGGGAGGGTTAGCTCAGTGGTTTGAGCATTGGCCTGCTAAACCCAGGGTTGTGAGTTCAATCCTTGAGGGGGCCATTTGGGGATTTAGTTGGGGATTGATCCTGCTTTGAGCAGGGGGTTGGACTAGATGATCTCCTGAGGTCCCTTCCAACCCTAATAATCTATGATTCTATGAACAGCACACATGAAGAAGAACTCCACATGGACTCCTCCTGAGGGTCGAAATGACAGTCTGGACCTATGCATAGAATGCTTCCACTGACATGCACAGGCAGAAATTGTGGAAAAACAACATCGCTTGCCTCATAACCTAAGTCGTGCAGAATGCAATGCCATCTACAGCCTCAGAAACCACCCTGACATTATCATCAAAGAGGCTGATAAAGGAGGTGCTGTTGTCATCATGAACAGGTCTGACTACCAGAAGGAGGCTGCCAGACAACTCTCCAATACCAAATTCTACAGGCCACTTTCCTCAGATCCCACTGAGGAATACACTAAGAAACTGCACCATCTACTCAGGACACTCCCTACACTAACACAGAAACAAATCAACATACCCTTAGAGCCCCGACCGGGGTTATTCTATCTACTACCCAAGATCCACAAACCCAGAAATCCTGGACGCCCTATCATCTCTTGGCACCCTCACTGAAGGACTGTCTGGATATGTGGACTCCCTACTCAGACCCTATGCCACCAGCACTCCCAGCTATCTCTGTGACACCACTGATTTCCTGAGAAAACTTCAGTGCATTGGTGATCTTCCAGAAAACACCATCCTAGCCACCATGGATGTAGAGGCTCTCTACACAAACATCGCACTCACAGATGGAATACAAGCTGTCAGGAACAGTATACCTGATGATGCCACAGTGCAACTGGCTGCTGAGCTCTGTGACTTTATCCTCACAAACAACTATTTCAAATTTGATGACAATATATACCTCCAGACCAGTGGCACCGCTGTGGGCACCCGCATGGCCCCACAATATGCCAACATTTTTATGGCTGACCTGGAACAACGCTTTCTCAGCTCTCGTCCGCTCATACCCCTTCTCTACCTATGCTACATTGATGACATCTTCATCATCTGGACCCATGGGAAGGAGGCTGGAAAAATTTCACCACGATTTCAACGGCTTCCACCCCACCATCAACCTCAGCCTGGACCAATCTACCCAGGAGGTCCACTTCCTAGACACCACGGTGCAAGTAAGTGATGGTGACGTTAACGCCACCCTATACCGAAAACCCACCGACCGCTATACCTACCTTCATGCCTCCAGCTTCCATCCCGGACACACCACACGATCCATTGTCTACAGCCAAGTACTGAGATACAACCGTATCTGCTCCAACCCCTCAGACAGAGACCAACACCTACAAAATCTTCACCAAGCATTCTCAAAACTACGATACCCGCATGAGGAAATAAGGAAACAGATCAACAGAGCCAGACGTGTACCCAGAAGCCTGCTACTGCAAGACAAGCCCAAGAAAGAAACCAATAGAACTCCACAGGCCATCACATACAGTCCCCAGCTAAAACCTCTCCAACGTATCATCAGTGATCTACAACCCATCCTGGACAATGATCCCTCTCTTTCACAGACCTTGGGAGGCAGGCCAGTCCTTGCCCACAGACAACCTGCCAACCTTAAGCATATTCTCACCAGCAACCATACACTGCACCATAACAACTCTAACTCAGGAACCAATCCATGCAACAAACCTCGATGCCAACTCTGCCCACATATCTACACCAACACCACAATCATAGGACCTAACCAGATCAGCTACAACATCACCGGTTCAGTTCATCTGCAAATTTGACACCATCAGCTCAGGATTAAACAAAGACTGTGAATGGCTAGCCAACTACAAAAGCAGTTTCTCCTCCCTTGGTGTTCACACCTCAACTGCTAGAAGAGGGCCTCATCCTCCCTGATTGAACTAACTTCATTATCTCTAGCCTTACTCACTCTTGCTTGCATATTTATACCTGCCCCTGGAAATTTCCACTACATGCATCCGAAGAAGTGGGTATTCACCCACGAAAGCTCATGCTCCTATACATCTGTTAGTCTATAAGGTGCCACAGGACTCTTTGCTGCTTTTACAGATCCAGACTAACACGGCTACCCCTTTGATACAGGAGTACTTGTGGCACCTTAGAGACTAACAAATTTATTTGAGCATAAGCTTTCGTGGGCTACAGCTCACTTCTTCGGATGCATCTTTTTAAATCTCTCACCTGCTTTGGACAACTAAAAATACAAGCCTCTGCACAACATTGTGGTGCTTGCTTTCTGTTTGACAAGCAATAAATGGCAAATTTCTGTTGGAGCATCCTCTGCTGAAATGTTTGATGAAAGGATTCCTTCACCCTCCAGAAGTGTGTCCCGCACAGCCAAGCGATCTCAGTCTGACCTCAGGAAATATAGAGACTTCAGGGAGTTAGGGATATGTTTTCTACATCCTCTCCTTGCAAGTGGCTTTCTGGGTGAAATCACCTTAGCTGGGTAAGTGAGCACCAAAGGCTTTGACAGCTTTTTGCCTCTTCATTGTTTCTGTTAAAGCAAGGTGGTCATTAGTCTCCTCCTAGAACGTTTGCTGAATGCAGTCTCTGAGCGCGTCTGCTGCAGCCTAGTGGCTCCTTACCTTAGGCGGCCAGTCTGCATAAATCAAGATTGGATGTTTCTCTAAAAGATCCGTTCTAGTTCAAAGGAATTATTGTGGGGCAGTTCTCTGGCCTGTGTTATACAGGAGGTCAGACTAGATGCTCATAGTGCTCCCTTCGGGCCTTGGCATTTATAGATCTATAAACCAGATGTGGAAAGGCCAGTTTGTTCTCACTGCAAATGCAAGTTTTTGTAAATTATCTTGGTTATGCTGCCTGCAGAGAAGTGCCCAGAGGGTGGGATATATTGATCCAAATACTTCACAGGTGGTAGTAAAATGTGTTGAGTATGGCTTATAGGTGACTTATATAGTCAAATAGAAAATCTCAAGACTCTTTCCACCACTGTCTCTCAGATAAGTGTTTATTGCTTGGTAATCAGTCAATGTGGATCTCTGGAGGTATGTTTATGATGGGGGAAAAAATAGTGTACTTAACAGTCACTGGAGAGCTCCAAATGTATTTTCTCCACAGATCCGTACTCACCCTTCCTCCATCCCTGCTTTGGAAATAAGGAGTAAGTTTAGCCCTGCCTTGTTTCAGAGGTGCACTCTGTACATCTGTATGTACATTGGCCCCATACCACACTAACTGCTTTTGAATGGTTCTGCGACACTAGCATGGAGCATATAAGTGTGGATTAGTGAAGCCAAATATTTGGATAATTCAAGTTGATTATTTTTATTAATGATGTTCCAGGAAACCCCAGTCAATGGTAAATAACCTTGATTTCTCTCTCTCTCTAGGTTTACAAAGATGAAAGGGTTGTAATCATTAAGGATAAATATCCCAAAGCTCGTTACCACTGGCTAATCTTACCCTGGGACTCCATCTCCAGTCTAAAATCAGTAACAAAAGAGCATCTTGAATTACTAGAACACATGCATGCTGTTGGGGAAAAGCTGATCCAACAATGCCTGGATAAAGATCGCTTGGAGTTCAGATTGGGTTACCATGCAGTTCCCAGCATGAGGTAAGGCTAGATTGTTCAGCCAGTTTTATTTCTGTCATCTGCTGGAGGTGGTCTAGATTTCATGCCTATATAGCCAGGTTGTGTACTGGACTCGAGCCTTTTTGATTTACTGAGATAAGGCCTTATTTTGAAAATTTGCAAAATGAAATTCTCTTGATTTATGATGTGTTTGTGTCTCGAGAAACAGGAATGTTGGATGTCATTAAGAGGTGTAGAGTCCAGACCATTTAAACCAGGGGGTCTCAAACTGGGGGTCGAGACCCCTCAGGGGGTCGCAAGGTTATTACATGGGGGGTCACGAGCTGTCAGCCTCCACCCCAAACCCCACTTTGCCTCCAGCATTTATAATGGTGTTAAATATATTAAAAAGTGTTTTTAATTTATTGGGGGGGGGTTGCACTCATAGGTTTGCTATGTGAAAGGGGTCACCAGTATAAAAGTTTGAGAACCACTGATTTAAACCATATAAAAGTTAAACAGGTGGTATTAGCTATCCTTTATTATTCTCAAGATTTTTTTTTTTTTCTTACTCAGAAATATATAATCACATCTTTAAAAGTAAGTAGAAAATTTTTATAAGAAAATGGCAACTTTTTATTAATCTTTTAGAAGTCAGAAGTAGACTTTTCTTTGAAACCTACATGAAGGCTTGCTCTCCTAACACTGGTAAAAATTGGAGCAGAGTGGTGAATGTTCCAGTTTATGGTGCAGACTGGTTCTTTGAGTAGATTTAGCCGTGTATGCATCTAGCACATCCGAGCTGGAGAATTTTGCCTATCAGTACTAATAGGGGGCAGCACTTGCACCTTGTGGCCATAGCCCTTCCCCATGCTACATGATGTGGCACCATCTCGACCCCCCCTTAGTTCGTTCTTACCGTCCGTCCCTGGCTGGAATGGGAGTGCTGTGGAGTTCTTAACCTCACAATTCCTCATCCTTTGACTTAGTTGCATATAGTTAGCTGGTACCCTTAGTATTAGTGTTAGCGTTAGCTGGCTTAGTAAAGTGTTTTCCCTGGTGATACCCTCACCAGGATTTAAACGTGTGTGTGTGTGTGGGGGGGGGAATCCCCAACAATGACCCTCACACAAGGTGCTTGCTCTGCTTAGGCGAGGCTCACGTCAAAGAGTGGTTTTCAATTTTGTAAATTGTTCACAAAATGGACTCAAGTGGCTAGAGACTTTTGCCTGAAGCAGAGCCTTCTCAAGCAGGCCACGAGGCCTGTTTCAGTACCAAGGCCTACGTCAGATCAGAGGTTGCCATCAGTGAGTGGTACTGGCTCATGCTCTGGAGCCACTGCCTCTCCAAAGAGGTGTAGAAACCACTCTCCTTTGAACGCGCCAAAGAAAAGATCTCAAGACCAAGCGTGACCGCTCAAGACCTCAAGGAGACTCTTCTTACTCCTCCAGGAAAAGTATGGCTACTGCTGGCACGCGGGATGGAGCATCTGTTCAACCACTCCCTAGTACCACATAGGGATGTGAGAGGCCCCGTATCGCTGACTCTGGTTCCAGCACCAGGGCGTCTGTTGAGTCCGGTGCTGACATTGACGGTGTCCACATCAGCAGCATATCAGGTGGCAGCGATGGTGGACCTCCTCTGCCTTTCCATCCCGAGCTCTGCTTTGGTTCAGGACTTCTTCAAGGCTATGTCATCCACAGCTTCGCTGTCCGGACAGGCTGCTGAACCTTTGGGTCTGTTGGTACTGCATCCTGATGTTGCCTTACCACCAACTGTGGAACTGAGTCTGGTGCCGGGCTCAGCACAATGGATCTCGTTGGCACCAGAAAACTCCTTAGCACCGCTGCATGTCATGCTACTGATATTATTGTGGTGGCACTCCCTGCCCTCCACCTCTGCACTGTCTGCTGCTTTGGTACTGCTGCTGATTTTGGGACTGATGTCACTCCCAGCACTGGAGACAATGGAGGCATACTGACTGCTGGCTGTGCCGTTTTCACTGTTGGCACAGGTTCCTCCCTTGCTTTGGATGATGGATGATTGGACCGGTTGCTTGCACTTTGGGTCTGGCTCCAATCACTTGGCCTACACCGGGAACTGTTCTGTTCATGTAGCAGCATGGATACAGAGATAGCACTCTTCCTGCAGTCAGGACAGGGGCCCCTGGCCTGGTGCCCACTGGTCACCCATGCCTTACCCTTATGCCCAGTGACCCCCATGGAACCTGTGGGACACTCCTCGTTCAGAAGTTGCGCTTCTATTCTCACTCCTAGGCAAGATCACCAGGCATGCTGTTGGCTGAGACTGTTGACCCACTGCAAGTTCAGGCACCAGTTGTCCTCCCCTTGTGGAGCCTCTGGAATTGTCCCATCCAGGTCCGCCAGTTCATCAACGGGACCTGTCATTCGCTCAGTTAACTGCCTTTTCATCATCCCTGAACAATTCAACCGTGCCTGGCTCTTCCTCCCCTTCAATGCCTGAGGACTTCAAGGACTACCGGGACTCTCTGCAGCATCTGGCTGCTTCCCTGGGCATCCAGGTGGAGTTCCTGCAGGAGAACACCCATTAGTTGCTGGACATCCTGCAGCCATCTGCCCTAGGGAGAGTGTCCCTCCCCATTAACGCACTCTTAGAGCCTGCAAAGGTTCTTTGGAGCAAACCGGCTTCAATGCTGCCTACAGCGAAGTATTTGGAGAAATGCTACTTTGTCCTGATGCAGGGGTTTGACTCCCGCCCAGATCCTAATTCTTTGGTTGTAACTGCAGTGAATGACAAAGCTCGGCAGGGCAGATTTAAGTCTGCTCCTAAGAATAAGGACTCTAATAGAGTGTGGATTTAGTGGGTAGAAAGAACTACACCACCTCTTCTTCCCTACAAATGCGGATTGTCAACCAACAGGTATTGTTGTTCAAATACTATTTTGTAAATTGGATGACTGTCTAAATTTACAGACCAGCTGCCTGAAACCTCCAGGGAGGAATTTCGGGCATTTATTGCCGAGGGCTTCTTGGTACCCAGAACGTTGCTACACTTTGTACTAGATGTAGTGAATACTTCAGCCAGAGTGATGGCCTCAGTGGTAACCATGAGGAGGGCACCCCGGCTGCAAAATTTGGGTATTGCTCCAGATGTGCAGCAGGCTATATAGGACTTGCCCTTCAATGGTCAGGTCCTCTTTTCAAATAAAACTGAAATCCTTGGAGGATTCTAGGGCTACTGTATGTTCCTTGGGGGAGTATACACAGGCAGTGCAAAATTGCCAGTATGGTGGTCAGCAGCAACAATCCTGCCTGCAATGCCTCTTTGGGCAATCTTTTCCTCCCCTGAGAAAGTGGAACTACCCCAGAAAGGGGCCTAGGTCCAGGGGCAGAGACATTCAGGTTCTGGGTTCAGCCAGTTGACATGCTGTCCCCAAGCTCCCGTTTTGACTCGTTTGTCCAGAGCAGCGGTCCAGTCGTGACTTCCACTACTCTGGTACCTGCCATTTGGGGACAGGCTAGCTCACTTTCACAATGTTTGGTGCTCAGTTACCACCAACCGCTGGGCCCTAAACACCATCACATTGGGCTATGCTATCCAATTCTCCTGCATCCTGCCTCCCCACTCTCTCTCTCTTCCTCCTCAGGGACCCCTCTCATGAGATACTGCTCCTCGAGCAGGTCTGGTCGCTACTGGCTTTGGGAGTTGTGGATGAGGTCCCTCTGGAGTGTCAGTGTTAAGGTTTTTATTCATGGTACTTTCTGGTTCCCAAATCTGGTTCCCTATCCTCAATCTCTACAACCTCAACAAATCTATCAGATACCTCAGGTTCTGAATGGTCCCCCTCAGCATCCCTCCCCTGTTGACTCAAAACAACTGGTTTGCTGCTCTGGACCTTCAGGACACTTACTTCCATGTGGCGATTCTCCCAAGCTACTGAAGATTTTTCCAATTTGTCATGGTGAACCACCATTTTCAGTGCATATCCTTCCTTTCAGTCTGTCTTCTGCCCCCCCCCCAGGTTTTTACCCAAAGTATGGTCGTGGTGACAGCGTACCTCAGGAAGAAGGGGGGAATCCTTGTTTTCCCGTATCTGGACAACTGGCTACTAAGGGGCAGGTCCAGAGAAGAAGTTTTTTCTCACATACACGTTATGCTGTGCTTACTCAACCCTCTGGATCTAATCCTAAACACTGAAAAGTCAACATTGGTCTCCACTCAGAAAATTGAGTTCATTGGGGCCCTAATAGACTGAGAGTTCGAGAGCATTTTTGCTGACTGACCATTTTCAGATGATTTGATGCCTTTGTCTCAGTCTGCAGTGTCAACCTTCCATGACAGTTCGGAAGTGCCCGAAGCTCTTGGGCCACATGTCTGCATTCACTCAGGTGGTTCAATTTGCCAGGTTGCATCTTCGCCACCTTCAAATGTAGCTCAAGAGCAGCCTACCGTCCAACCCTTCACCCTTTGGACAGTTTGCTCTGCCTCCCTCCATTGATCCTAGACTCCATCCTGGCAGATGGTTCAGGACGTTACCTTCATCTGGCCCTTACCGAGGGGTGAAGGTAACATAGAAGACTTACCGGTGTGGGGGCCTGGCTCCAGCCGCTTTTAAATTGCTGGGTCCGGGGCAGCTGCCCGTTTCCCCCCCCCCCCCGTTGGGGAGGGGGGAGGGCAAAAGGCAGCGCTTTAACGTCAGCTGCATACGGGACGGTACCAGCAGCCACTTCTTACCTGTACTGGCCCACTTTCACACCTGCCCTTACCCACTAGGATTGTTGTCACTGATGCCTCCCTCTGGGGTTGCTGAGAGTCCACGGTCTGTGGTCGGGGCAGGAAGCTTCGCTCCTGCATATCGATGTGCTGGAGCTTTGGGCCATCACGATACCTGTCACACTTTGCTAGACTGCATCAGGGGCTCAGTGGTTCATGTATTTACTGACCATACAACTGTGATGTATTATTATATAGGCAAGGAGTGTGCTGTGCCAGGAGGCAATCAGGCTGTGGCTGTTCTGCATCGCAGAGTACCACTCTGATAGTCGATCCCTTACTCCACTTCCTGAGAGTGGTGCTTGCGAGTCACTAAGTGGAATGCATGGCTGTATCTACTCAAAGAAGAAGAAATGTTTACTCGTGTAACTGTTGTTGTTTGAGATGTGATGCAGACGTGTATTCTACGACCCAGCCTCCATCCCCTCTGCATCTATGGGCATTCGGTGTGAAGGAAGGGTCAAGGCAGCACCACTTCATATAGCCAGAGGAGGGGGTATAGTCATAAGGCGCAAGTGCCGCCCCCTATGGGTACTGTTAGGCAAAATTTGCTGGCTCCTGTGCACTGGGCATGCACACACCTAAGTGGAATACATGTCTGTATCACATCTCGAAGAACTACATTTTGTCTTGAGCCTTGACCAAGTCTTTAACCCGGTTACAAAGCACAGTTATGGTCCAGGCTCTGTACTACAAATTACAGCTGGTTTATGGGATGACCATGTTGCAACCAGGTTGTCAGAGGTGGTTGAATTTGTAGTACAGATAGAGCCAAAGGCTCCGACTCAAATATAAACGTGGGCTAAAGTGCTTTCCTAAGTCCCCCGACGTAATGTTTCCAGCAAAGACGTGTGTGTGTGTGTGCGTGCGCACACACCCACCCTTCCCGCTGAGAGTGTGGCATTCATTGGAGTTGCACTATTAGTAATTCTGGGCTGCACTCCTTTCTGCCTCCGAATCACCTTGTTTTATCCTACACCACCTTGTGAGTTGCCTTCCTTGCTAACGCCATCTTCATCAGTGCCTAAGTTAACTCCTGGTGAGTTACCATTTACAGCTGTTTGATCCCCACATGTAACTGACATCCCTGACGAATATGTCCCCGAGACATCCCGAGGAGCTGGATCTGTTTAGGGCAGGTGTGAACTTGTGCCACAGTGCTTAGTAGGGAAACACTCTTATCTAGCTAACGTTGGTGTAATTCTTTTGTAAATGTAAAATCATGATTACTTGTGTTTCAGTCATGTACATCTCCATGTAATCAGCCAGGATTTTGATTCCCCTTGCCTCAAAAACAAAAAGCACTGGAATTCTTTTACTACAGAATACTTCTTAAACTCTCAAGGTAAAGACTTTATAAAATTTACTCCATGATGTATAATTTTATCATTTTCATGTATTTTCAAAGCTAATGTAAATCTTAAACAGTGTGTTAGAAAAAGTGGAAGGTCCTGCTTAGTTTTGGATATTGGGTAACATTGATTTTCTGATAAAACTAGCACAGCATTTGATTGGCTTATGTTTAACAATGGGACAGGCTCTTCTAATTCCAGGTGGAATATCTGAAGAAAGAATGTGGAATGTTGGGGTAGAACAATCCTATTCTGCAGTGATAAAATGCTGTATAGGTAAAGTAGCGTGCACACTCTTCATAGTGCTGAGAGTGCACTTTGTTCTGATACCAAATGTCTTTGTTTCCTTCAGATGTGATAGAGATGGTAAAGACCAAAGGAAAAGTTCTGGTTAAAGATGGGACTTCTGAGCTCCTCAAGTTGCCCCTCAGATGTCATGTGTGCAAGCAACACCAGTCTACCATCCCACAGCTAAAGGAACATCTCAAGAAACATTGGCCAAAGTAACTGTAAAAATCACTCTGAAATCTGATCAGTCTAAGGCTAAAAACAATCCCCCAAAACTTTTTGTCAAGTTGCATAGACTTTTGTTTTAGCTGAATTACAAATTCAACACTGGAAAGGTTCCTCGCTAGTACAAAAAGCATACGACTGACACTTTTGTAACAACTTTTCAGAAGACAAATAAAGCAGCCTCAAGTTCAGTATTTTGTAGATTCATTGTGAACTATCAGTCCTGCAGTGTATCTGACTGGGAAGTCTCTCAAGGGTTTTCTGGGGGTAAATGTGGCGGCTTCTTATGCAAAATTCTGCTAAGCACCTGATACAGATTTAATAGCTTCTAAGGCCAGAAGGGACCCTTGGGATCATCTAGGCTGACCTCCTGTATAGCCTGGGCCAGAGACCTGCCCCACAATAATGCTTAGAGCCGAGCTTTTAGAAAAAATATCGCACCTTGATTTAGAAATTGTCAATGATGAAGAATCCACCACAACCCTTGGTAGGATGTTCCAATATTTAATTATGCTCACCGTTAAAAATGTATGCCTTATTTCCCATCTGAATTTGTCTAGCTTCAACTTCCAGCCTTTGGATCGTGTTACAAGTAGGGCTGCCAAGCGATTAAAACAATAATCGCGATTAAACAACAATAGAATACCATTTGTTTTAAATATTTTTGGATGCTTACTACATCTTGAAATATATTAATTTCAGTTACAACACAGAATACAAAGTGTACAGTGCTCATTTTATATTTATTTTTCATTACAAATATTTGCAATGTAAAAAACAAAAATTGTATTTTTCAATTCGCCTCATACAAGTACTGTAGTGCAATCTCTTTATCATGAAAGTTGAACTTACAAATGTAGAATTTTGTACCAAAAAAACTGCATTCAAAAACAAAACAACGTAAAACTTTTTAGCCCCTACAAGTCCACTCAGTCCTACTTCTTGGTCAGCCAATCACTCAGACAAACAAGGTTGGTTGCAATTTGCAGGAGATAATGCTGCCTGCTTCTTGTTTGCAATGTCACATGAAAGTGAGAACAGGCGTTCTCATGGCACTGTTGTAGCCGGCGTTGCAAGATATTTACGTGCCAGATGCACTGAAGATTCGTATGTCCCTTCATGCTTCAACCACCATTCCAGGGGACATGCGTCCATGCTGATGATGGGTTCTGCTTGATAATGATCCAAAGCAGTACAGACCGACGCATGTTCATTTTCATCATCTGAATCAGATGCCACCAGCAGAAGGTTGATTTTCTTTTTTGGTGGTTCGGGTTGTGTAGTTTCTGCATCAGAGTGTTGCTCTTTTAAGACTTCTGAAAGCATGCTCCACACCTCGTCCCTCTCAGATTTTGGAAGGCACTTCAGATTCTTAAACCTTGGGTCAAGTGCTATAGCTATCTTTACAAATCTCATGTTGGTACCTTCTTCGCGTTTTTGAAATCTGCAGTGAAAGTGTTCTTAAAATGAACAACATGTGCTGGGTCATCATCCGAGACTGCTATAACATGAAATATATGGCAGAATGTGGGTAAAACAGAGCAGGAGACCTACAATTCTCCCCAAAGGAGTACAATCACAAATTTAATTGACACATTATTTTTTTTAACGAGTATCATCAGCATGGAAGCTTGTCCTCTGGAACGATGGCCGAAGCACGAAGAGGCGCATGAATCGTTAGCGCATCTGGCACATAAATATCTTGCGACGCCAGCTACAACAGTGCCATGAGAATGCCTGTTCCCACTTTCAAGTGACGTAATTAAGAAGCAGGCAGTAGTATCTCCCGTCAATGTCTTGGCGATTGGCAGAATAAGAAGTAGGACTGAGCGGACTTGTAGGCTCTAAAGTTTTACACTGTTTTGTTTTTGAGTGTAGTTATGTAACCAAAAAAAAAAAAATCTGCATTTGTAAGTTACTTTCATGATAAAGAGATTGCACTTCAGTACTTGTATGAGGTGAACTGAAAAATACTATTTCTTTTCTTTATCATTTTTACAGTGCATATATTTGTAATAAATAATATAAAGTGAGCACTGTGCACTTTGTATTTTGTGTTGTAATTGAAATCAATACTGAAAATATAGAAAAACATCCAAAAATGTTATAAATTTCAATTGGTATTCTATTGTTATAAGTGCAATTAATTGCGATTAATTTTTTTGAGTTAATCGCGTGAGTTAACTGCGATTAATTGACAGCCCTACTTGCAACCTTTCTCTTCTAGATTGAAAAGCCCATTATTAAGTATTTGTTCCTGGAAACGGACTCCCCTTTCCTCTCCAGGGAGACCCCGTGTGGTAAGCCCGCTTGGTGAAGTAAGCAGCATGCGCATCCACCAAGGTACTTTCACCATGTGTTTTTCTTTGTCTCCTCTTACGTTCCAGGTACAATACAACCATAGAGCAGCAGTAATGAGGAGCCTCTTCCTGCTCACTGGGTTAGCCTTTTATACTGCTTGGGTTCTTCAGTGGCTAAGCCAGTTACTTGTGAACATGTCAGGCTGTTAACAGTGCCCTGTCATCCACCTCCTTCATTTTGTTTCCTCAGTTTGGTTAGGGCCCCTCTTTTCCACTAGGACTGTTTTCTGCCTGACTGAGCTCTACCTTCCTTATGGAGGCGGCGATCTCTCACTGCCCCTACAGTTCTCTAGTCTTTTTCATGGGCCACCCATGGGGACTTCCATCCTCCAGCCACAGAATAAGCACTCCTTAGGTGGGGGTTTACCCCACAACTCAATTTCCTCCCATGGGTCATCACACCAGGGACAGCCTACAGATCCTGGCTCTGGATTTGCTCCTTCCTTTGTAGAGCACACTGGGGTTTCTTCCCCAACAGACCCCTCCCACTCCAAGGGTCTCTGAGCCCCCTTAAGAGGCTTTGGGGGGTCGCTCCCTCCTACAGTCCCCCTAACTGGGGTATCTGGGTTCACTTCCTGCCCTTTCTTTAGATTGTCCTTTATTTAGGTGACCCCTGCTCCTTCATCCCCTTTTCCAGCTTCTTTGCCTGGTATTCCCCATCTTGGCCTTGCTTTCTTAGCTTGTTGGTATTTTTCTAGGGTTTTCGCTTTCCTGCTTCTCCTTTGCCCAGCCTTTCTGACCCACTTTCTTGGCTTGTTATCTGTTTAGGGTTTTCTCATATCGCACCTTGTGGGCTCTGGGTCCATGTTTAATCCCAGCCCCTCTTTTCCTCACTCCCCATTGAGGTTCCTTTCCCCAGGCCTCCTTTCTTCTCCTTAAAGGGAATGTGTTCCACACAGTCCTCATGACCCCAGGATGGGGCAAGGTTTCCACTACCCTGACCCCTTTCTATTGAAACCTTCCATGGGACTACTGCCACTGGATATTATTTTTTCTCCCTGTGTATGCATTCCACATATAGGGTTTCGCCCTCCCAAAACCACTGTGCTTTAATCAGCCTGTTCCGCAAGAGTGAACAACCAGCTGCTAGGTCAATATCCTCTAGCCTACGGCCCACCCTTACGGGGATTGTTTTCACACTCTTCCTAGATGTCTCCATCACCCCAGTCTAGCTGCAAAATTCCCCCAGTCCACATTACATATAAGGGCAGTCCCACTTAATGTAGCATTTCCCCCCGGCCGTGGTAGCAAGTAATATCCCAGCTGGTTGACATGGCCTTTTTCTCCTCCTGTCTCTCACACCCAGACCTTCCTGCTTGAGTGATCTAGTCTCTTCCCCCCCTCACATTCCCTTCTTGTGGGGGACGAGCCACTTTCCTGGGAAATTCTGCTTCAACACACTTGGCCAGTTTTACTGCTGCATCCATTCTCTGGTTGGCCTCCTCATCCAGACCTTCGTGGTATCTGGGAGGCTCTGAATAAATTGTTCTAATATAACGGTATCCATGACCTCTTCCAAATCTTGCCCCTTTGGACTCAGCCGTTGGTTGGCCCAATCTCTCAACTTCTGTACGAAAGCTTTGGGCCCAACCCCGTAAGTCCATGTGGCTTCCCTAAATTTCTGTCTGTACCTTTCGTCCACAAGCCTACATAGTCCAGTATAGCACCCTTTAACGCTTCGTGATTTGTGGCCTGCTCTTCACTCAATGCCATGTAAGCAGATTGCGTTTCTCCCACCAGATAAGAGGCTAACCCCATAATACTTTATCTCAGCTTGCACTAGCAGTGATTCTCTCGAACATCCATAGGAACACTGGATTGTCCCCAGGGCTCATTTTAAAGTTCAAGGCCTGCTCCCACTTGGCAGGAATTATGTTTTGTAATAACTGCTGCTGTACCTGGGTCTGCTCCTTCATGAACTGAAACACATGCTGTTGCTCTGCCTGCCATCCCAGCAGATTGTCACTTGGTCTGTTGGAATGTCTGCAATGTCCTCCGCATCCCCTTCTGAGCATGAACTCCTCCATATTTTCCAGATTGAGCCTGTCCTGTCACAGGCCACCTCTCAAGCCTTCCTGGTTGTGGCTGACAGATGGATCCTGGACAAGCCCACACTTGTGAACGGGCTTCCCCCTTCCTCTCCAAGAAAACCCTGGCTGGTCAGCCCACTTTGTGAATGAAGCAGTGCACAGGTCCTCCAAGGTACCTTCACCTTGTGTGCTTGTTTGCCTCCTCTTACGCTCCAGGTACATTTCAACCACATAGCAGCAGTTCTAAGAAGCCCTTTCCTGCTCCCTGGATTAGCATTTTTTATAGTGTCTGTTTGCCTTCCTGGGTTCTTCAGCCAGTGGGCTAATTACTCATTAACTCGTCAGGCTACCAGGAGGTGTAAGTGCGCTCGTCTATTTCAACCGCACCCAGTACCCTAGGTGGTGTTGGTGATCAGGGTGCTGGCTTCCATAGAGCTTTGATCAGCACCCTGTTACAGTTCCCCAGGTAGGTATTTATAGATTTGCGTATATGGTGTGAGGGCACTTCCCTGTGGCTCCCAGTGATGTGTAAGTTGACTTCTCTCTTGGCTGTGTTCCTCTTACTGGGTCTGGCATTGTGATTGCCAAAATATTGTTAGAAAGTGATGTCCATTCAATCAAATGAAATCTCAACTAAAAAGCCTCTGTGCCACCATACAAAATACCTAATGTAGCTCACAAAGGGTATGTCTACACTACGAGAGTAGTTCGATTTTTACTTAAATCGAATATGTGGAATCGATATTAAAGTGGAAGGTGTGTATCCACACTAAGGACAGTAATTCGACTTTGAGTCCACAC